CCCCGGGGCTTCCGGGCCGGTGGTCCCAGAAGCGCCGGGCGGAGTAGATCAAGCCCAGCGCTCCTGCTGCCTTAGACCCGGCAAGGAATTCGCCGCGCAGAAATGAGTCCCAATGAAACCCAAATGAGTCCCATTTGTTCCAAGGTGATTGCCAACATGGGTGTCGGCCTTTTTGAGGGAATCCAGTTTGAGTCATCGAAACCGATCCGTATTAAAATTCGGTGTACCCAATGAACCTAAATTACGGGGCCGCGCCTATTTTTCTGCCTTCGGCTTGCTTCTAACCGGGTGTTGTGCGTGGCTCAAGCGTTGGTGTCAAACAGCTGAAACAAATAACTGAGCTCAGAAAGTCGGAATCCAAGCCCCAGGAAAGGATCGCTTGTGGCGGCTCACTTCCAAGGGAGCTCTTCCACGGGAAGTCGCCAGGCTTTCGACTCGACGGCACCGCAATCTGCAACAAGGTGCGACTTCCGCATGGGCCTTGACAACTCAGGAAGCACGTGGTTGTGCCTTGCTCAATGGATCTGTGGCCTCATTGGTTGGCCATGGGTCAAAATCCAAACCGTACCCCCCGGTGAACATCTCAATCCTCACTAAAATAGGCTCTAAGATGGGTGGTGCACCTACCCCAAAATGGGATCCCATTGGTTTTGACCCACTGCCATTATCAAAGTCACCCCCGAAGTGGTGGGTCAAAGGGAAACCACCCCGGTTTCTGACTTTGATAGCCTCAGACACGGTCAAAATCATGGCCTGCAAGCTGTGAGCCTAGAGTGTTGTATGGCTACCAGGCGGCTCGTCAGGGTCCTTTGCCCATGGGGCAAAAACCGGCCTTGCCTTTGTTGTTGATTGGAAAGGCAAACCCAGTCCAAAATAAGGCAAGGCAGGATTGTGGCCCGTAAGACTTATAGGAAACAGACTGGCCCACCGCGATCAAGAACCCAGTACTCCGTTCAGGAAGGTAACCAATCCAGATTTAAAAAAGTGGTCAACATCGAATCTACGAACAAGCGGACACACTGCACAACCGCTTGCAACTAACATCTGGGCGAATCAGGACAAAGACACCAACCAGTCACCAACCGGACGCGAGGGACCCCCAAGAACCTCCACGATGGGTAATGACACGAACGCTGAGGTCGCTGCACTTTGCACAAAAGCATGCCGCAAAGATGCTCAAAGAAAATGACCCCAAAAACGAAATGAGCCAGTTGAGCCCCTTCATCTTCACCCTCCAAGAACTGCTTTTCCCTATCTCCGACAGCCACATATTGCAAAGCAAGCACCAGACTCTACTAGGTCCTCAAGTAGAGAGGATAGAATAAAGGTACCTTGTTTTTCTGTAGTCTATTTTAGTAGGGGAACCCTCCCAACCGAGAAAGGGCACCTAGCTGGGGGCCTAGATGACGTTTGTTGTAATTATTTACCGGGGAATCGCATCAGAAACCAGCCCAGCCCAACAATCATTTTCTGGTTGGGTCACCAGCGCAGCAACCCAACAAAACCAACACCCCCAACAAATCCATTAGCCCAACAACCCAACAACTCGACAACCCAACAGCCCAACAATAGCTTTTTTGTAGGGAGAGTTGAAGAAACAACACATGCCAGCTTCATGTGTAGAGTAAACCAAAAGTAACGAGGCACCCAAAAGGTACCAAAACGCTCAGGCAACCGCGAGTCCGAAGCCGCCACTGACCCGAATGGCGTACTTGATGCACTGCCTTGGAGGCGGAAATGGGTCAAAACCGAAAAGACTTGGTACTCTCGGTATAGAAAAAAAGTGTTTCTCCTGTTAACCACCAAATATCCCCAAAAAGTGTTCTTTCCGGTTTCCCAAAAACACATCCACATTACTGTATATTTATATACTATATATACATATGGGTGTTTAGCTTTAAGTTGAATCCAAAAGGAAACCACTCAGCATGGTTTCCTTGAACGCCAGGCCAGGCTGAGATCTTACACCCGTGCCTTCAGTGAGGCTGAGATTTCAATGGGCTCTTTTGGGATGCTGCACCTATTGCCAATTGGTGCAAGAGACAACCCCCCGGCAATCCCCAGCACCTGCATGCCCCGTTTTTAAGGTTTGCCTCATAAGTGCTATCGTTTCAAGGACCCCTCTGTACCCGAGCTGCCAGGCACCTCGCGAAGGAAGAGGTCTTGCCTCTCGTATCTTTAGGCGGGGTTGCCATCCCCAGCTTCCTTTGGGCTTTGGGGCCTCCCGAATTTGTCAAGACACCTTAACCGGGGGTGTTTCCGGCAAAGGACTCCCTCTAAAATGGGGCCGGAGTTTTGGTTGAACTTCCTGGTCCCTGGCGTCAGCATCGCTGGGGCCAGCGCCATCTCTGCATTCCGGCCTCAGATGCTGAAGTGCCAACCGGTGAAAGGTCAACCACAAATCACCCTGAGGCTAAGGAGGGTAGGTAAGCCAAGGTTCGCCGATTCGCCGATTCGCCATGTTTTTCTGCTATCATAAACAGACCTGCAGCTAGGAATCAAAGGAACCTTTATCAAGGAGATCGCCATCCCATGAATTTAATACCTTCCAATTTGGACGGATCGGAATCCCCCCTCCATATCCCAAGCCCAGCGTTCGCTGAAAGATTGTGACCCGCACCCCCTTGCCCACAGCATCTCACAGCCTAATCAGTGGGCCCACTGGGTGCAAAAAGTCTGAGCTCTCCCTTCAAAATGGGACTGACAAATCCAGAAGCTAAAACATGTTAAGCAAATGGAAGAAGGTACTTCTCGCTGAGCGCTCTGCGTTGTTGTGGCTTAACCACCACAGGACTCGCAAAGAGCCTGGCGGGCGGCTGGAGGTTTTCAATCCCAACTCCGGGGATGCCTGACACAAGCCTTGGGATCGAGAGCAACAGCTTTTGCCAGAACCCATTTCTGGGGGCCTTCCAGAACCTATTTCTGACTACAAAGATGCCCAGAACACCTCAGAACACCTCAGAACACCAGGAACACATAGGAAAACCATCAAAAACCTCTTGGAAAAGCGGCTGAAATGGTGTTCGATGATTTTTGCGGGGCATTCACTATGTTTTGCTACCAGTAAGTCACATGGTCAGTTCCTCATGATGTGTCAAGGACTTGCCACAGATTGATGGCACATGCGTGGCACTTTTTGGGGATCCATCGCTTACAGGGGAGTGGTTTAGGTCCAAGTGTTACATTCAAGTCAAAGAGAACATAGTGATCTCTCAGGAGCGGGAAGCGAACAAACAGTAAACTTCAAATCGTATCGTCAGTGACTCATATATTTGGTATGTCCAAACTTGTGCAAGATATAACAATTTGCCAACTACGCATCAGGATTTCCCCAGAAAAGAAGCAAATGGACCTCGCCATGGGTTGTGTCCAAACAGAACGGGTGGTTTTCGGTTCTCCCGGACTCCAATTGGGCAACGAGCCAACACTTGTCTTGAAGGGAAACCCCCGCAGGTCACTAGTGACTAGTCCATGGTTCACAAACTGGAAATGAGGGCGTCCTAGAAAACAACACGTGAGTTTCAGCTCGTCGATCTCGTTTCCCAGGTGAGCTCGTTGCAATTTGTGTCGACAAATACATCATACGGCCACAATGGGGAGATTAAGCGCGAGCCACGATTACGAGGGGGATTGCCAACGAAACAAGGGTCACATGCTGCAGGTCAAAACTAGGCACCCAAAACGGGTTGCCCTGGGAAATAGACGCAACAACTAAAACCTGCAGTCTCATGGTCGTTTGAGCCATACCCATCTCCAGGCGCTCGCTTCCCAAGCTGCTAGAGCACCTGGCCCTGATGGCCCTGAAGCCCGGGCCATTAATTGTTGTTCACTCACCTGGTGGCTTCCCGTGAAAGGATTGGGACCACTTGGTTGTTTCAACAAATACAGTTGGAAGCTTATAGATAGGTTCTGAACAAACATTGCAAACAAAAACCACTTTGTCAGTCCTGGAATTGGAAGCGATAGCCAGGACTACTTCCCATGTACCCCACACCGCCTCTCACTCCGGGCGGATCCCATCCCGCTCCTATGAAGAGCGCGATGATCAAGAGCACGGTGCAGGCTACCGGCATCCAAAGCCATTTCCTGGCGCAGACGTGGGCTAAACGAAGGGTACCTTGGATGGGTTTAGTAGCGAGCCTCAATCATCCCAAGCAATATTGGTACCGAAGTGGTACCTCAAAGGGCAACCAAAAGGAAGGGTTCTCCTATTCTGAGACAAACCCGTGGATGGACTACTCCTGAGGTACCCCAGTAGGCTGGCAGGTGTTTTATGCCAGTCACAGGGGGGTTTACCATAAGCCTCCCGAATAAGCGAGGACCAAATTACATATCCCGACAACATGGACAAATTGGGTGGCGGGAATGGTGTCCCGCATGGCCGTAGCGACTGGCACACCCTCCCGAATCATTGGGCGTAAAATTGAAGCCGTGGTGATTCATGGGGGGTGTTCCTCGGTCCGTTTATTCGGGGCACGTCCACCCACAAAGCTCGGGGGGCGGTATGATTGGCGGCAAACCATTTATGCGGGGGTGTTTCGCCCCCCAAAGCGAAGGATCTTCTCCCTATAGTTTCCACATCCGTAAATACTTGCCAGGGCTGCATTTGATCACGGCGCCCCAGTAGACGCCAACAAAGGCTGCATGAGAAACCACAGTGGCGGCAATACATTGACCCAAATCCCCGTGGTGGCATGACTGCTGGGACTCTCTGAAATGTGCTCACATTGGTTCTTCATCCCTCCAGGTGCCTGAGTACGTTGATAAACTATAATGATTTAGGTACGGATGAACCCCATTCAAGAAAAGCTCACAATACCTGCATCAAAGAATCCTAAATGATTCACGTACTGTCAGATTCATTCGTTGACTGATGGGCATGCTGAGAAACGAACAGGACATTCGTGTGATTGAGGGCTCGAACTGGCTGACGTGCTTGAGGACATGTGCAAGAAGAAACCCCGTATCTCACAAACAGGGGCGTCACTGGGCCATGGGAAACTATTGTTTGTTGGTATTTACAGGGGAATCATATCATTCCAGGGATTCTTAGGTGGCGCGAAACGGATTTCGTCCATCAGGAGGGATAGTTTACCACATGGGTTTTGTGGGTTTCTGAGGGTGCCCTTTTGGGGTTCCAAAAAGAAAAACCAAAAACCACCAGTGGAGAACCAGTTTCATGGGGTCCCTGATACGACCAGAAGTCATCTGACCGGATCCAAAGGCTTCGGTATAGACTTGATCCATAGGAATCAGAGCCATACGAAATGGCCCTGGGTCAGTCACCAGGCGTCTGGGTTTTGTAGAGGCCACCTTTTGGCTTGGCTTGATTTAAAGGAAACACAAAAGAAAGACCATTTTAGGGGTCCCCATGGTTTGCCCCCCCAGAAACCCTGCGCGCGCGCCGCGGCGCGCGCTGCGAAAAACTGCGAAAGGCACGCCTCTCCGAGTCACTTGGGGAGTCCGCAAGGGTCTCCATGGGCGGAGAAACGCCTCACACGGTCGGGTCATCCGCTTTTGTATTGACTTGCGTTCTTGATCTTACTGCAGGGTCAAAAGCTGTGAAACACAAAGCTTAGGCCCGAAAAAAAGGATTGCCCCTGGCAGAGGCTCTCGAAGAATGACCAGGCTTTGGGGATGCTTAAGCCCCATGTGGCTGTGGCTCAAAACCAATGATCCCACTTTGGGGGATTGGTGAATTCACCACCCATTTTAGAACCTAGTTAGTGGTTGGATTGAATCGGATGTTCACTCGGGGCTAACCGATTTGGATTTTGAAAAGCCCATGGCCATGTGGGTTCTTGATCTTACTGCGGGATCAAGAAGCGAGAAACACATGGCTTAGGATTGTTGGAAGAAGGAGACCACGGCAACAAACACCGGGTGCCTATGTTGGAGTTGTCTTGAGGAACCAAAGAGATGCGGCTCCTTTTGTTTACAACAAAGGTGGTTGCAAACTGTCAACCCTTGCTAGGTAGAAAACAACACGCGTCCAGAAAGGATCTCAAGAGCAAATAAACAGCACGCAACTGGCCCCTACTAAGCCCTTGTTTGGTGGAAACCTGGCAAAGGGTGTTGGATTGAATGCTCTGGCTATCACCTGCAAACTGGACATGCTGCCAATTGGGCTAAGCTTCGCTTTTACCACGTACGTGAAGGACAAGGTCGTTACAAGTTGCAGACTCAACAAACATGAAATCTTGATTGAAGTTTGAGCATCGTTAAATCGATGACTCACGTTTAATGCAAATCCCCTGCCGGTGTTGCTCGGATCGCGCAATCCTACTCGTTTCGGGAGCCCAAAACGGGGTTGGGTTTCCCTTCGCTAGAACACATATTCTATTGTCCATATCGCTGCGGGTCAAACATAGGTACCCAAAACGGAACCCTCGTATATAAATAGAACCAATGACTAAACCTGCAGTCCCCTGGTCGTTTAATTTTGACCAGGGGGAAAAACAGAACCAAACAACACACAATACAAACACCAACAAACAACAAACACAAACATAAAAACCAGAAAACTAAGAACACAAGCACACCCAAACCCAGATCCATGACTTCTAAGGCGCCTTGGGCAAAGCTGCCCGCAGCTTTCAGCCCTTCGAATCTGTGAGCCAGGCTGTCGGATTTTGGCCCTTGGAAACCTCCGGAAATGGGTTTTGCTTTGTCTCAAAGGGGGAACCTAGCTATGATGGTGCCTTTCTGTTGGTTTCCCATTAAACAACAAAATGATAGTAATAAAAGTAGCCTCAAACAAATGGGCACACCCACATGCATCATGAAAAGCCTGATTCATCCTGATTCTAATTTTATGCTGGGCTACGCCTTCAAAGGACTTGTTCGGCTTTGTCATCCCTGACCCACCTCATTTCAGATCTTCGGGGGGCAAAAGCCTTTGTGGGTGCAAGTGGTCTCCCGAAATCCCCCTTGACGTGGTTGCGAGTACAACCCGCGGTCTGGAGGTATTTGAGTCTTCGTTGCCAAGTTAGTAAGTTGACTTGTAACCCACTAAGGTCTCCAAGTGGGTTGAACCCAGTTATTAGGTTGTAGCCCAAGTGGCTGACTTGCTAACTTGGCAACGAACATGCAAGTAGTGGTTTTGAGGCTAGAGACTTGGTAGCAAACACCCTCTTGAACCCCTAAAATTGATTGTGCAGATGCTGGTGAGATACATGCAGTCGAATTGGCCCTCCCTCCCGCAGCAACTCGCTGGACCACATTCGAAAAAAGCCACTCGCACATGCCCAGAACCGTGTCCGTTTTGAAGCTCAGTATTTTTCTGTGGGCCCCACTTGCCAGTATAGCGAGGAACCAGCTATAATGCTCCTATTAGCTTTTAGAAGAGATTCCCTTGGTCCCTTACTATACAGGTAAATGGAATCACTGGACAATTCACCAAATTACAAAAAACATGTTATTGGCCGAGCCAGTTTGGGACCTTCCTTGTTCTCGTGGAAGCAAGCGTGCTTGGCTATCCACATAACTGTCCCTGTTGGTCATACGAGGTGTGTGCCGTTGGCTTATTTATTTTATTTGTTGTTTCGACATGCTGCTAAACAAAAACAGGTGCCATACGGTTCGTTGATGACCGCAAACTATACGTATTATTGCATGCATGGGTGGGCGCATCTTTTGCATCGAAGGAATCGATTGCCTCGCTCGGCCCTCGTGGCAGTGGCGAACCTTCCGCCACTTTCAGGCGGTAGCTCAACACTTGACCCCCCTGCATATATTCCATTTCTACCGGCTCTACAAAGGGCTGGGTTGGTTCATGGCGATTGCCTTGCATGTCTAGCACATGATCGTCTTCCAAAAGGCTGTTTCATTCGATGTTCAATCTAGGTATGTCGCGAAGTAGGGGGACCGGTCGCAAACACAAACTGGTCGCAAACCTTGGTCTCTGAAAGTGAGCGGAAATCCTGCGAAGGCTGGAACTGGGTGACCAGAATTTCGATCCCCGCGAGGTCGTGCAAGGCGCGAGAAGGCTCAAATCAAACCAAGTTCTGCTGCAAAGTCATCTTTCGGGACCATTAAGCCCAAAAGGCGAGCACTGAAGTTGCTTTGAACCCCGACGCCTCCGGGTCGATGGTTGACCCGGACCTACAGCAGGCTTCCACCCAACACACAAATACAGAAACCAAGCAGTTGGTGACTAGCAGGGCTCTTGGAGAGTTGAAAGAGGTTCTTCGATGGGTTCGAAGAACCTCTGTGGTGGCTCTGATGTCTCTCCCAAGTGACACGATGGTTGTTGCAGTGGCCTGAGGTTCTACAAGTTGCTCATGCGGTTCAGCAAGTGTCAAGACTGCCCTTTAATCATGGATGCCCAAAGCATGCCACACTCAAAACCTCAAATGGTCCACCCGTTTGCATGTAAGGAAATGAAAATGCGGCCGCAACTATTCTGGCTGCGATTCTCCCTTACTAAGCTTCACCTACCCGGGTTTTGGTTGTGGCGTAGTTGGCAAAAGGCTCCTTAGAGGGCACCCTGGTGACCAAACGTATGGCTCGAAGACAGTATCATTGTCATCTGGTGTTCTTTCCATGGACAGAAAAAGAAGAAAAAAACAGCCGGGACAGGAATTTATTGTTTCGCTGCCTCGGCACGCTCATGCTCACTTATCATTCGCGCGAGGCTAACTGGAGCTGGAAGTGGTGCAAGTGCGGTCTTTTTACACACCCCAAGTGGAAGCCTGCATCGTGACAGTGCAATGGCCCAATCCCGCAACCTTTCTCTGAGCTTCCTGAGTATGGCCAGGAAACCGAAGGCGAAACCCGCGGTCCGTTTCAAACTCAACAGGCAAGTTCTCGATATCGCAGCCAGGTTCTCTTGAGCCCAGGCCGCTTGTTTCCAAAGCCACCAACTGGAAGTAGTGTGCAACACGTGTTTCCTCAGATGTTCGATCGGTGGGGCTTGATCTGCTTCGGGTTCCCAAGCCATAGAACGTTTTGGGGCTCTCAAAACAGCCTATTGAAGAGAGCCCATGCATCAAACCCTATGAGTTGGGGATGGGCCATCTTGCTGTGCCATACACATTAGCCCGCTCCGCTTTGAGCCGCTTCCTGTGCTGCAAACAGGCAGGCACAGGATCCAATACAAGCTGTGACAAGCACCACATCTGCGCAGCCGGCGGTTAGATCAAGCCTCACTAATCTCACCATGTTCAAAGTCACGCGCAAGGTGAGACGAATAGAAGCAAGTTCAGGTTCTGAGAGTGGCAACTTGAAACAGAAGAGCCTACTGAGTGACCAAACTGGGTGTTCTCGATGTTTGGTTGCAGCGCTGTTGTTCAACGTGGCAAACTCAGCGAGTCAACTAGCTGCTCACTCGGGGGTAGCCATATCCGCCGTAGGTGGATAGCCTCTCCCTGGGCATCGCAACATCGCGCGAACCACGAGCACAAGCCCTGTGAGCGAAACCACTGGCAAAGTAGGCGAGGAAACCCAAACTCCCCACTGACCCCAGGCATGTATGATGTATGTATGTATGTATGTATGTATGTATGTATGCATGCATGCATGGATGGATGGATGTATGTATGTATGTATGTATGTATGTATGTATGTATGTATGTATGTATGTATGTATGTATGTATGTATGTATGTATGTGTGTGTGTGTGTGTATGTATGTATGTATGTATGTATGTATGTATGTATGTATGTTTTTGTGTAGGTATGTACGTATGTAGGTGTGTAGGCATATAAGTACGTAGGTCTGTAGGCCTGTACGTCTATAGGTCTGTAGGCATGTAGGTATTAGGCAGGTAAGTCTGTAGGTCTAGGTCTGTAGGTATGTGTAGGGCGGTAGGAAGGTAGGAAGGTAGGTAGGTAGGTATGTAGGTATGAGGTATGTATGTACGTATGCACGTATGTAGGTACCGATGTATGTGTGTACGTATGTATATGTAATTATATGTATGTAGATATATATATATATATACACATATGCAATATAGATGTCCATATGCATATGAATATGCATGCGTGTATGTATATATATACACACACACCCTGCGTGTCTCCCTCTAAACACAGATATACATGTGTACATATCTATATATATATATCTATATATACATAGAGTTCATGCTTCTTTTCACGGTGGTCAGTGGTACAACCCAGCAGCACACTGAGGCAAGGTAGATGACGCAGTGGATTTTGCAGGTAAAGGGAGTCATGGCAGAAGTACTTTCACCTTGGGCAAAATCTATCCGACTTGTTTCGCCCAAGCTCCAAGGCCTCTTGGACCCGGGTCCAAAAGCACAACGAGGTTCCCTGTCAGGAGCATTGGCCAAAGTAGCCTTTCAAAAGCTTAGCTTCGCGCAAATGCTTGCAGCCACCCAGCAAATTCACTCAATGAAAAAGGCACAACACATAGCACTTCTTTAAGTGCCAAGTGCCTGTTCCGCCAGCAAATGGAACCACAAAGCTGCCCAAGGTAGTGCCGCTTCAGCAGTGCATTGGGGTCTAGAAATAGAAAAAAGCTGTCCTTGGAGCGGAAGTGGAGCTGAACATCTTCAGCCTTACCAACCTGCATACCGCACAGACTGCCCAAAACTGACTGCAGTCAGAACCCCAAAGAACTAATATGACAGTTAGACCTTATTTGGGTCTTGTTTGCCCCTAACTCGCTCTCTTTTTTATTTGGCTCCTTAAGGGGTACGATTCCAGGGTACAACCTTTGCATATCGGTTGATGTCTTCTCATTCGACTAGAGTCTTTGGCCCCTCTCCTCCAACTCCAAGGCGTGACGGTCTGATCTGGCGATTCAGACCCGAACCAGCCGTCAAATTTACATAACTATCGTTGCAATGCCAAAAGAGTTTCCAGTCGCCCACAAGAGCCCCAAGATCCACTATCACTGTTTGAGAACTCTCTTTAAGAGTAACTCTTGTGCGCGTGTTTGTTGTATTTGTGTTTTTTTTTTGGGGGGGGGGGCCGATCAGGCCCACCTCAGATGTAGGAACCACAGTGTCAGTGGGCGCTTTGGAATCAATCCGAGAATGTGGACCGGCAGTACTACACTTATTACACACCCACCAATTAGCATTGAACCTGACATTCGGGGAGTCTGGTTTGGACCATTTTCCTTTTCAACAACAGACCATTTCCCTGTCAGGTCCCAATTTAATTGGTGGTATGGTAGTTGTAATACTTAGTTTAGTGACAGAGGGGGGGGGGTCCTGGACTTTTAAGGGCTCGTTGCTGGGAGGGTACTTGCAATACTTGGTGTTGTCCAACTCAAGCCCTTGCCCAGATCCCACTAAAGTTCTAAAGAAACAGGCACTGTTCGGGGCGGAGGGGCTCATATTAAAACTCGATTGCTTTCAGCTCCCCCGCTAAAAGTTTTCAACTTTTCGTGGCTTAATCCGGAAAACCCAGTAGTTGGCAAACAGTTGTTGAGTCCTAACATGACTAGAGTTAGGCCTACTTATAGAATGTATATTTTATTGCTTCACCTGGAGTCACTGGTAAAATGCAAAATGTATCCTAAGTCTACTCCAGCTAACATCCCTTGGCAACATGCACCAAAGCAAAAAGCAAAGAGGGTCCCGCATTCGAAGCCTGAGCCTCACGAGACCACACGGCTTGAGGCGCTGCAAGTCCGATAGGGCCCAGGCTTCTGCAGCATGGACCCTGGGCAAGAGGTGGTCAATCCATTGGCTCAAGCCGCTGGGAAACATGAGAACATATGTCCAATAGTGCTTTAAAACGTTACAACCCACAACAAAACACACAAAAACTCAAAGTAAATGGAAGTCCCATGAAGTCCCTATTGCATTTCATAGCATGGAGGGAATCTAAGTTCTCCACACGAATTTGTTTCCTTTGGCATGCGTCTCTTGGCCACTGCCACACCCGACTTGCTGTTGGGCTCCCACAGGAGCCACACAAATTCGGGAGGGAGTGGGGAGGCTCATATGGCTTGGTCTTAAAATGTTCAGAACCCCCAAAAATGAGGTGTCCATTCAGTTTGCCCCGCAGAAACCAACAGGGTGCTTCCGAAACAATACTTGGATGTTCGATTCGTAAGTGGCCAACGCCACCTGGGCTACAACCCCCGCCCCCCCCCGCAGAAAAAAGAAAAGAAAAAGGTAATCCCACATTCACGGGCGACTTATATTCGTGGGCTATGACTGAACAGCTACTAACAACTTGCTCACCTGGGGCTGTCCGCTTTAGCTTTTAGTGGCTTAAATGGAACATTTTCAGTGTGTACAAAGTTGGGCCGAACAAACATATGCAGTCAGCCAAGAATCACAAGCGAGCTTTGGGGAGGGAGGGAAGCGAGCTCTCACCCCGTAAATAGGCACCACTTGTTGGGGATTCCGAATATATCACATACCTTCCCACCAATTAAGATGGAAGCTGCCAGGCGGTCCCTTTAAAAGGAAAATGGTCCAAACCAGGACGTTCTATGTTAATTGGTACCCTTCATTGGTTGAAAATTTGGAATCCTGGTTCGTGTGGGCAGCATCCATTCATAACAGAATAGTTGCCTTCACTCCACGGTAAGCTAAGCTAATTCTCCAGGAAACCCTGTTGTTCTAGTGCCCCAAGCCTTGAGCTTTTGGTTGCAAACCATTGCCTTTGCCTTACCCGTCATGAGGTGAACTTCTTGGTAAGCTGTCCTGCCTTTTGTGGCAACAGCCCGCAACAAAAACAAAAACACATGCAGCCGGGAAGCGGAGCTCATCCAGGGCCGCGCGCAAGCGGATGGTCTCATACTTGGACTCGAACCTCCGACGGGGGAAAGAAAACAAAAAACGTGTGCAAACGCCCAGGGGAGATACCATAGACATGACCCCTGCGGAGAGAAGAACAAGGATATTAGGGTGTTCAGCCAAATTGCTAAGTTGTTGGTAAGTTAGGCTGCAACTGCTGGTGAAGCTTGGCACTTCAGCTTGTATGGTCCATGCAGGCTAGCAGTTCAGCTTGTATGGTTCATGCAGGCAAAGGCCCCTCCAGCAAATTCCTACTTTACTTATGCACAAAATCCCTGCAAATAGGCAAGCCGCCGTGCAAGCACAACAGCAACAGGGACCAGGAAATACCAAAGGACTCTTGATAAAGGCTTCCTTGCGATCCCACGACCCTCTGGTAGTTGGTTTGTCACCCCCCCAAATGTTCACAATAAACCTTCCTCATCCTCTCTCCATTCTCGGGGCATCTGACTCTGTTCTTCCTAAATGAAGAGGTACCTGAACCCCCTCTATCAGAAACAGAAGCTCAAGCGTCTGCCACACTGACCAATAGGGTCGAATGCTCATTCACTGCATCATAGAACCCACCGGAAAAAAATGAAAAAGGAATATGGTCTTCCAGGGACAACGTGAGGGTATTTCGGTCCATGTTTTGAGGGTACCCGTGGGGTAAATTGAAAGGACCAAGCCACCTCCTCCCCTCGCTTCCTGAGTAAACTGGGCAAAAAAGGTCAGCACTTCTCATTTACCACTAAAAACTGGTCTTTCCAAAAAGTGACTAAAGTCATTTACCACAAAAAATGTTTTTCTCTCAGTCCTTGAAATTTCAGGGAGTGAGACCCATACCCCGAGTCGGAGACACCACAAAAAACCACGCAGCTCACTCCTCTGGGCGTCGCGCTTGCAAGTCAAGAGCTCCTCGAGCGCCATCGCGGCGCATTCCCCGACCTGCCGAGGTACCGGCCCTCGTTTCCTTCGAAGGCACGACTGAGCGCCGTGGGAAACAGGAGGCAGAAGGGGTGTGTGTCTCGTTTGTTCTGTGCTTGAGTCAGGGTCTCATATGGGGAAACAGGAGGGGGAAGAGGGGTTTGGGGGGGCTTTGGATCTTGTGTGTTGTGTGTTTCTTGTTTAACAGAAGCAAGAGGGTGTACCGACTCTAACAAACTAGCAATGCCCACGCAATGCCTCAGCGGGTATGCAAACTCATGAAAGGTGCTTACGAAAGCCTACGCGCGTCACCCCTACGAGGCTTGAGCTGTTCTGCATTTCTTGGCTGGTCCACCTGCTGTGGAGGCTTCAGTGGCAGCATCGGCTCCAGCAAAAAGCTTTCCAATGTGCCATGCTCTTGCCACCGTTGAGAGTGGTTTGACTCTTGCTTGTACAGGGTTGAAAGGTGCAGGGGATTTGGCTGAAGCCAGAGTGCATCACACACACATTGACCTGTATCAAACCGGGCAAGAAGCAGTGTGTGCCATGTGAAGCAGTCAAGTTTGGCCAAGCCGTGTAAGCCGAAGACTATGCCATGCCTTGTGTGTCAAAAAAAGAACCGACAGCACCCGGCAAATACCTCCCTGCTTGCAGTACAAACTCTCTGACTGGGGAGTCACACTCAAATTGCTCATATTTGCCAAGCTCAGCCTGCCAGCTCGGGCAAAAGAGCATGAGGTATTAGCTGCACTGAGTCCTGGGTAGGATTGTTGCACAAGAACGCGCTTGACACCTCATTGTGCAAGCATGCTAAGCGATGACAGTACCTCATCCACTGCGTGCGGAGGTCCTATGCAGACTTTGCTATGAACTGCTAATCTTCATGCCGAACATACCACGGCTCTCTTTGCTAACCTGCTTACACTGGAGTATAGCTTACCACAACAGGTCTTACTTGTTCGGCCATGACAAACCTGCCGGCATAAGCTAGTTTGCCATGACAAACTTGACAGGTCAATTCAGTTGCGTCTCTGATGTTCGCTCAACACGGACACTTGCCGCAGTGCATGTTTTCAATCAAAGCCTTTTGAAGTACCCACCTATCATTCCTACAGAACGTTGCACGCACGGTTCAGGTATTGAAGGTTGTTTGCAGTGAAAAGCTGAGACGGGCAAACAGCAAATAGAATCCTAAGTGCAATAATTTCGCTTGGGTCTCGGTTCAGAAGACCCTTGAAAACACCCTTCCAGTCCTGTCTACCGGTGCTTTCGTGTTAGTTGGGCCATAGCTGTGACCCATTCGAATTCAGCTTCAGTCCACTCAATTCCAGGCCAGTCCAGTCAAGCTCGCCAGTACAAGCTACTCCCAGTCCAGTCCACCAGCCGATAGCCTTGTCTACCGGTACTTAGTCAGTGATAGTTGGGCGATATCAGCTGTGACCCACTAGAATTTAATATACCGATTAGACTCTGGTTCAAGTTTGGTGAGAACCGCCTCGCTGTCGTGCTGCTTGCTGCGCCGCAGGTCCTCGCAAAACGCAAGGATGGAGGCACTCGAATCGCCAAGGGAAGTGCTATATATGGGTATGCGTCAACATATATAGGGGAACCTCAACATGTTTGTTGCCCTTGTTTCCCTTCAAACCAAGGGACGCACACACACACACACATACACACACCCACGTGCTGACGTCTCCCAAAAGAGAGGTTGGATTCAGCACTCATTTAGCAACCCATTTCAAAGAAGTCAGGAAACAGTCCCTAACAGAACACTAGCGCTTTTGAGGATCTACTGGGTTCGAGCTCGTTTTTTACCCATTAAGTCAAATAAAACGAACTGTCATTGGAAGCCCTTTGGTGGACATAATTTGCATGTGTGTGGATTTATGTCCACCAATGTTTCATCATGTTCCTCATTGAAATTCATAGCCAAGTACTTGGACAACACATTTAGACAGATCACTACAGCTGTGTGAACGTAGATGGCGCAACTCCCCCATGTTGATGTCATCATGTCGTTGCTTGCCCACATGAACGGGAGTTGTGCCATCTACTCTCACCCGCCCGAAAGTGCAGCTCACATTTCCTGAAGAGTGCCTTACTGACTCAAAACAAAAGAACTCTTGCAGAACTCATGACACGTATTTGTGAGGTGGTGGGTAGGGCGTCTAACAAGCTGTTCATTGTTTGTTTCTCCGTACTCTCTGTGACCTTCAGAAGGCGCACGTCAATAGAAAGCTTGGCTTTGAGCCAGTGAGGAGCTCATGGCGATCCGGCTTCCTGTGGGAAAACCGATGAGAAAGGTCGGTGGAATTGAGCCTTCAACGCTGCTTATCTTGCTGGTGCGATTGGCAGGGAATCAGACATGGAATGACCCCTATAAACAATCTTTGTTTTAAGGGAATCCCAGGTTCATTTTCAAAATCATGGAATTACGGATGGAAACAACCAGATGCGAAGGATCTATCGTATGATCCCAGTTGCAAACCGTGTCCTTTCGTCTTGTAGATTCCATGCTTAACCCCGCCACACCAAAAGGGATTATAGATTCAGAATTCCAGACCGTGGCCAGGGACAAACAAAACACCTGCTTTGTTGGCTGGTCGATTGTGAAAGGGGACCCTCCCAACAAAAACTGGAAACAATTCACATGCGACACTACGGGTCTAGTGGTTTCTGCTGAGCAACTGGACTGAAACCAGCCCTGCCTCGCTAAGGTTGTACGCACGCTCCTCCACACGGCGTGCCTGATCAATGCTTGTCCAGTGGGCCCCTTGGCACCTTCTGACCATCTGCACTTTCTTGGCAATATGTCCAACATCCGAAATAGGGGATGCCATACTACTTAGTCAAGAACCTACATCACAGTGAGCGCATGTTACCCCACGTGAACTCGCCATGACATAGGCCGAAGGAAGGGGTAAGGAACGAAGGGATCCTTCAGAGTAGGCAATGCTGGGCTGAAGTCGAACATGCCGGCCCTATCTTAAGGCTGGGAAGATACATGCTATAAAGTATTTCAATACAATGGCATGACCTTGTAGCAAGCCAGATCTGACAACTTCGAATCTATGAACTCGTTGTTGGCCATGCAATTTGACGCTGCGAAGCTTGCTAGATTCAGCACCAAAACAAGTAGAAAGCACGGCCGGACAAATTATCTCTCTGTCAAAGTGAATTACACGACGGCCACAAGAACATCCTTGGAAAAGCTGGAGTACCAGCAGTCGGATTGCGCAGAAGGGACACCACGAAAGAGCAGATCAAAGATCCTGCCTGCTGCTGGTAGATCTGCTTCATCTCCTTCCACATCGCAAGACGCGCAGCGGTTGCGCGTTGCGCCGCAGAACGAAAGTTCGGTTCAGCTTTTCGAGGGCCCTGCAACCCCCTTGAGCCCCCTGCTTTTTGCAAGGCTGTTGGTCTCAAGCTCTCACACACACACACACACACGAAGCACCTGAAATGGTGTAAAATTCATTCAACCTGCGGCGGAAGGCATGGCAAACAAACTAGCGGCGGAAACCTTGGCAAAAACAGCCCCCGCACATGCTGGCATTCTTCGGGTCTGATTCGCCTCATGCGGCTTTATTTGGCCCTGTTCAAGCCTTTCTAAACCCAAAACCCTTTTGGGGATCTTTGGGGGAAAGTTGGTAGACTCACTGAATGGAAGTTCGAAAAGGGATAGATCGCACGAGTAAAAATTCGGCAAACTGAAGCAAAACTTGTTCACTTGGCCAGACATAGACCTGCAGAATGATCTTTTTGCACTGGGTTTGGTGTTTGTTGGACTCAAGAGGAACTGGAAGTTTGTCAGGCACCCCGAGGAGTTTGCCTAAATCTCCCCCCCTGCTCCAATCTAGTCAGGAACTCAAAGCCGCAAAGGGCTCTTGACTCCAACAACCTCAAATCAACTCAGGCTTTGGGCAAGGAATCAAAGGAACCCAAGTCAACGGACCTAAGGCTCTGCCTTGTGTTCCACACCCATTTGGGTGTGACTCCCAAAATGGTGGTTTTCCTCTTGGTTTCCTTTCGCACCACCAACAACCAAGGTACCTTTTCAAAAAACAAATAACACGCCCATTTAAGAGGCGCGTGTTTGGCCTCAAAATCCTGTACCCCCAGAATCCCCACTAAAATAGGCTTCTCCAATGCGTAAAGTGCAGCGAAAACCCCAACATGGGACCCCAAAAGGGTTTTGACCACCACGGGTGCACCTGTCCCAAAATGGGATCCCATTGGTTTTGACCACCACCGCCATTTCCCCCCCCCGCTCCAAGCCGTCGGCTCGCTCGGCTCCTCTGCGCGGGCCTTGGCCTCCAACTGCTCCGTGAGCTCGCGCTCCAGGCGCTGCAGATCCACCGCCTGCGGCGGCCCATCGAGCCGACTGGTTTCTGCCCGGGGGCGTCCAATACGAGGCTCATGCACATGGACAAAAAACACAAGTTTCATCCCAGTCAAAGTTGGTAGGTGGACCAAATCCATTTCGCACCAGTTGGTAGGTGGTTTTGGGATTCAGCCATCACAGGAGTTTGCCCATCAGTAGTCAACACGCCTCACAAGGCTAGAAAAACTAAGTTGAAGAAAGCTTGAACTGCATTTACGAAGGCTGAACACCGCAGGTTTCAATTGGTAAGGTTCAACGCCCCAACTCATTGAGCGTCTCCTTGAGGGACCCGGAAGCAAATAATAAACCTGTTCAAACCTTCGTTTTGGACCAAATTTGTTGGAGCTCACTTGACAAGGTTGCTCGAAAGACCTTGATTATCGTTTTGAGGTTCGGAGCAACCTTGATGGACACACTTCTCACATGTGAGTGGCACCACGAAATTTGGGTGGGCCCCGAATATCCTCCAAAAATCCCCTACCAGCTATTCTGTCATCACCATCGAAAATATTGGACTACCCAAACAACAAATGAAACTTGAAAACCGATGGGAAACGGACCATCCAAAAGTGGTACTCCCGTAATAGTGCGTTGCTCATGTGATGGGCTTCAAGTGGATGAAACGGATGAAAGGGAGAGAATATGACTGAGCCATCTGAGCCCAACATTGACGATTAAGACATATCTTAGCAGCACACTTTGACAACCACCTCCCTCAAACTAAAAAAAAAAAAGAATCCTTTTCCAAGCGACCGCCTCGGGTCCACCGTCCACCCCTTACTCGGATCGGATCGGACGGCCTGGTCGATACAGCGCTGGCGTTCCATCGCCAGCTGCTGCTCCAAACCTCGCTTTGAATCAAGCCGTTTAACGTAAGAGGCGGAAGATCCTGGAGCCCAAAGAAGGGGAGTTCGGGACCCAAAAGGAGACTCCAATCCTAAAAATAGGTTGTTTCTTTCGTTTTCCTTTTGTTTTTCTGAGGGGGGGGGGTGTCCACGTGACACTGCAGGGGGCAATTCGCAAGTGCCAACATGGTTGTCATATCATGACTAAACGTGGTTTTGTTGTTGTGACCCACAAATATGCTATGTTTATGATAATTTAGCTCATTGCACCAACCCCACGCCCATTGGAAAGCTCCGAGCCTCGCATTCATTTCTCGGTTGTCTCAATTTTAGGGAATCCAAGAATGGTGTCCTTTCGGTTTCTCTGCCAACCCAACAGGAACTCCCCGCAATGGAAGAAAACAACAGATTTACCTTTGGGCTTGATGGCCAAGGAAATCACTCCAGCCACGAAAACAACAAAGAACCTGTTCTTGGCGAGCAAAAATTGAAGAAAGCAAAAACACCAAAATGCCAAACAGATGCAAGCATTTACGGTCACAAGTGTTGAAAATCCCCCCAGAAACCGGCATGTTTGTTGTTGTTTGTTGAAACCGGTCAAATTCCCTAGAAATTTGCATCGCTTGGCAGGCCATTCTGTAGCTCTCTGCGGCCCTGGCCGCGGGCAACGCGAAGCGCTTACGATGAATTGCCACCGCTTGCTGTCGAATCTGCTGCGACAAACATCCTAGGAAGGAAGTGAAAGGGGTGCGGACCTTGCACCATCCCAAGAAACCAAGGTAAGGATTGAGGATTGCCTTTGAACAACCCAACAAAGTTAGTGCTTTTACAAAATGATGCTTGGATGTTCCGCCATAGCAAGTGGTAAGCCACTTGGATTACAAAGCACCAAGAACCTCACTTCCTGAGTGGATTGGCCAAAACAAGTCTGAACGTTTCCTAGGTCCTCCAGTAGAGAGCTTAGAATAAGGGTACCCTTTTTGCTGTCTATTTTAATGGGGGAACCCTCCCAACAAAAAAAGAGGTAGAGAAAACCTAGTTTCCTTTACCCCCGCAAGTCCAGGAACTCCGCGATTCGAGGAAATGCTTGAGTCCACGTGGAACCTACAACTAGGATATCAAAGAACGGAACACCCAAGCGACGACAAGCCAACTTGGTCTCCAAATAGGGAATTGGGTAGTTTCCGGTTGGTCTCAGTTCAATACAACCCAAAGTGGGTATAATTGGGTGAACGAAGGCACAACTCCTTGCATTTGACTATGTGAAGGGCATGACAAAACCAAGATGGGGAAATTCCGCCATCTACTTGCACCCAACTGTGGCTGCAAGTGGGGAACAAGGGAAAGCTAGCAGATGGTTTGATCAGCCAAGTGGCTTGTACTAGTTCGTTTTATCTGCACACCCTCCTTACACCGGTCATCAACCAGTACTTGGGAACTCCCAAATTTCCATTTGCTTCTTCGCCCCCAGAAAAAAAAATGAGAAAACATGTCCAGGTAGTGAAATCGATTCCCTGTAAAGCCAGCACGGAGTGAACGCTACTCATTTCAGCAAAAGGAAGCAGAAGAAGCGCCCATCGCGCCTGCCACCCGCGCACTGTCGAAGGCTGAGGCCTGGGTCCCGACGGAGTTTCTCAAAATGGCCAACCCTTAGCCGAAGCCGAACCTCAGTTGCCCAGTTCGGACGCAGGCATAAAAGGTGGATTTGGGAGCCTTGACTCAAAATGGACCAAGTCAAAAAGGACCAGGTCAAAAGGAATTTCTCAAAATGGTGACCCAGAAACAAAGTTAACATTTTAGAACCTTGATTCAAAATGGGCCACATCAAGGAAATCAAAAGGTCAAACAGGTCGGCTTTGGGCAACTGAGAAACGGAATCCGTTGCCATTTTAGGACGCGGGTCACTGGAATGTCCTCTCAAAAGCTGATCAAGTTACTGGGGCTGTCCATTGAAACGAATGCGCTTTTGGAGGTTCCACAAAGTGACATGGAGGAACCTTGTAGGAAATTCCTGTGAGAAATACCCCAACACCAAACGGGGGGTTCCAACCTCAAAAAAGGAACAGCCATCTGGAGCGCCCATCTACAGGTCGTGGCATAGACGTTGAGTCTGTGTGGAGTTCCAGTGTTCAAAGGGTTCTTCGGGGTGTCTTCTGCTATTGAGTTTCGCCTAGGGGAAGACTAGGGTATTCCCCTAGGCAATTGCTTCAGTGGCAGGTATATAGCGACATCGACCAGGGCTTTGCAACCCATTTGAGCTTCCCGTGGTTCAGCTTCGCGAATTATCATCATTTCCTGTGAGATACGGGTGTGTCTTAGCCAAATACTTGTGATGTACCCAAGTTGCCGCATACTTTTCTTGGCTGGAATTAGGACCCCAGCAAAAAAGTTTTTTTTTTTTGCCTGGTTAGTGGAAAACAAAGGGAAGCCCAAAAAAGCAAAAAAGCAAAAAGGGCAGCTAATTCTGGGGAAGTTTTCTGGTAGATTTCCCTGCAGCTGATTTGGGAGATGTGGGAGATCATGGTTGCGAGCCTTTAACAGACCAATCCAGGAGGCAGAACATTGGCGAGGGATTTTGATTTGCCACGCCATGTAGGGTGGATGTGTGGACAGAAGGGTACTAAAGGACCGCACAAAGAGACCCAAACAGGGGGAACAACACCCCATTGGTACCCTGGTTGATTCATATAATAAGGTCAACAATAGGATTTGCATAGCAGCAACTCTCATGCACTTCCTGACTGGCCAAAACAAGCCCGAATTTTTGGTTCGTTGCCCCTACAGTGGCCTTCCCAACAGGTCTAAAGTCCATGAACTCAGGAAGTGGGGAAACGGTTGAGTCACTGGGTGGTCTTCAAATAGGTGTGGCTCAAAATTACACAGGAGGGGCAAACCGCAGGTGTTGGTCCATTCCATTTACCGGGGCAACCCATTTTGGGTTTCCATGTTTTGACCACCCGCCAAGGAAATTGGGTAGTTTCCGGTTGGCAAAGACGCAGCGCAACACACGGCTCACTGGCAAGTGGCCTGAGGAGCCGCTGCGGCCCACCCCTGCAGTACCGCGCGCCGGGACTCCTGGCGATGGCTTGGCTGCGGCAGGGCTGACGGCCCGTTGCGGGGGATGACGTCTTTGGGGTCAGAAACCACGCGGCCTCAAAAAACCAACGAGGAAAGTGGTAACTGAATGGCTGTCGGACAAGCAGTTGGCCCTTGCTTTTTGCGTGGCCCAACCACTTTCCACGACCAACAAGCGGTAACTGCCACAGACTAGAGGTTCGGCTGGTGGCCGGTTTGTGTATATCTGTTACGGCACGCTTGGAGGTGCACCCTCGGGGGTCGGTTGGCTTCCAGGTTCCCCTTACAACCTCTTTCCCTGAAGACAAACACATTGCAGGAAGGATCTGCAGGTCAAATCGCCGGCGTCAAGTAGAAATTCACAGCCTTAACAAGTCCTTACTAAGGGCTTCCTTTTGCAGCCACCAAGCGTCTGGGTCCATTCAAGCGAGCATGCTGGAAAGTTCGCGGAAATCGTTTTGGCGGGGAGTAATAATTTTAAAACATCTTTTCAAGGACAATATGGGTTTGCGTCGTTTTTAGGGGACCCCCAACGTCCTTTTGGTGTCCCTTTTAAACCAACACCAAACAAAATACCCAGTCTTGTGTCTTGCGTACATGCCAGGTTCGTAGAGCTTGGTTGGTTTGTGGAACCCGTCAATCTAGCTGAGCTCATGCATGTAATGTATCAGGGGCTGTCACCTCTCCTCCGGAGGATACGCGGCCCTATAAACCCTGCGTATTGGGCCTGCAGAACTCACTAGAGAACCCTGTTGCAGATCAATTCATCCCTAGCAACCAATCATACAAACTCACAATCATTCAAACAACCAGCAAAATACAAACGGTTGTTGAAGAAATATCAGCGATGCACTAAGGAATTCTAATAATATTGGGGGCGAGCTCGTCTAAAGAATCGCAACTGGAAGTGGCACATTCAGCTCCTCCAACATCCTTGCTAAACTCAATTCCTGAGTTCATTGGCCAACAACACCCAAAGTGTAATTGTTGCCACCGAAATGGTATTCCCAAAAAAATGACCAAAGGTCCACATACTCAGGAAACGAGAAGTTAAAGCTCCCACGGTTGAATAATAGGCGGGTGTCCCAGTTTAGTGACTTTGGGCGACGGGGGGGGGGGGGAAACACCCACCTTTAAACTGCCATGTAGTTCTAAAATCTGGGGTCAACAAGAAAAAACGTTTTGAGCCCTGAACGGATGAACCGTATGGAAAGTTGGTAGTTGGACCTACAAATGACCTTCTACGTACACCCACGTTCTGCCTCCAAAGGCCTTGGGGTGGTGTAGTCCCATGTTCTGGTACTAAATTGTTAGGGACCGAAATTAGGAGCAACTCCATGCTCAAGTTTACGCCAGTTGTTCAAAGGACTTGCTGGCTCTTCTGACTCTTTCTTGGCTTTCCACTTCCAATCCTTGGCATGTGAGCAAAAAAAAGGTTTGATCTTAGCAGCCACCCACTGAACACGAAGAGAACCCAAAACCACAAGCCGTGCCAAGAACGGTCCTCAGACCGTCCTCTGCGGCAACCTTCCCCGAAGCCACGCGAGCGCGCCTCCAAGGCCCCCGTGAGCCGCTGCTTCTCCAAGCAGAACTGCACCTGGAGGAACGACGTTGGGGGGCCCAGGGAATCAAAGGCCGTGGACGAGACGGGTGTGTCATGGTGTGTCGTTTTTTGAGGGCTGCTCTAGATCCCCTGCGAAAAGTGACTAACTTTTGGTGGGTTAAATGGAAACTACCACTAAACCCAAAAAGCCTAAAAGGCGAAGGAGACGGCTGGGGGCCACCAAGTTTTTTGAGGGTAGCCCCAATTTTGGTTGTTCAAAGGACAACCAAATGAGTCACCATCTTCGAAAAACACACCCGCATGAGCGCACTGCTAACGAGCCCGGAGCCTGAGGTTCTTTGAGGGCGGGGGTCATGTTGATCGTTGACGCTCGTCACTTGGGCGTGGTCATGCTTTCCGCTTTCTTCAGAATGTAAATGGTTGATGACCGCTGTCTCTTTTTTCATCGGGGTCAAAACACGAAATCCGACACCTGCAGTTGAGTTTAAGGGGAAACCACGCCAAAAAAGAGAGAAAGAAAAAAACACACCATCACTGCATTTCCTCTTAAGTTGATCAATTTACTGGTGGTATCCATTGAACATCGCCACTTTGGCTCCAAAAAGGGGAACGGCTGGGAAATTTTGAGCAAGGGCACCATTGGCCTCAGACATGGTCCGGGCGCCTGTCGGGTGTCGAGCTCTTCAATGGCCATTCTCAGGCCCTCGCGCCTCGCAGCCCGACGCGTGCGAGCCGCCCGAAATGTGCTCAGAGGTTTGAAGGTTAGCTCATGGGGGGCGGGAGGGGAGGGGGAAGCGAGGGGGAAGCGGGGGGGAAGGGAGGGGGAAGGGAGGGGGAAGGGAGGGGGAAGGGAGGGGGAAGGGAGGGGGAAGGGAGGGGGAAGGGAGGGGGAAGGGAGGGGGAAGGGAGGGGGAAGGGAGGGGGAAGGGAGGGGGAAGGGAGGGGGAAGGGAGGGGAAAGGGCAGGGAGGGGAGGGGAGGCTTGAGGACTCAAGGGGTCACCATACGTCACAAGGCACTGGCACACAAAAAGTGGAGCGTCACCTAACGGGGCAACCAAACGATGTCTCACACGTGTTTTTTTGGGGTGCACCCGAAACAGGTTGAACCCTCTCTAAACGGCGGGTTTCCATGGGAAGGGGCGCGGAACCCTCCCATGAGTCAAATTTGCTCGTGGCAAATGCCCATGAAGTTTCGTCTCATCCCCAGGCATCATCTTAAAGAAACCACCAGGTGATGTTGAGCTTTCCAGGTGGAAGCGGCAAAAGGTGGTCATCCGGTTGGCCCAAAAACCGGCCAAACCCACCCAGGGAATGTGCAAACCACGGCCCTTGGACAGACTCCTGGGCCCTCAAAAACAAGCTTTCTTGAGGACACCACAGTCGGACCCGGAAATAGGAACTATGTGATTGTTCAAACCTCGGCCAAACTTCGACGCTGGCAGAAGTTACCTCTTATGCTGGTTTTTCGAGCAAAAAACAACTAAAAGGGCAAACAGTT